TGAGTGTTCTCTGTTTGTTGCTGGTGAAGTTGATCAAAGCCAATTTTTGCCTTCATTTTCCTTTTCTCTTCTCTTCTTTTGCTATGGATTAACAGCGAAACGGACGTGGAATGTACGCAGACCCTTCCTCTGATTATCGTTATGAAGGTAACCTTGTACATTTTGTTGTGTCCCGTATGTGGTAATGGATGGAGGGGGGGTGGTGGTATATTACAGATTGTTTGGTTTCTATCAACTGAAATGATAATGTCAATTTGTCACCGTAAATAGTTTTTCAAGCCGACGTTTCGAGCGTTAGCTCTTGGTCAGAGCGAAGATTCAACGCTCGAAACGTCAACTTTTAAAACTTTCAGAGATATCTAAGATATGGAGTTGTTGGATACGCCATGTAATTTCCATTTCACTCTATTGCTAAAGAGAATTATTTTTATGTATGATGCACGATCCTCGCCAGTAGAGAGCGTTATTTATGCAATAGCGAAAAAATAGCGCTCTCTACTGCGAGGATCGTGCATCATACATATCTACAACCGCAGTTCAAAATATATATAAACTTCATATATTCATTGTACCAGAATTATTTTTAACGATCACCTGACGTAACTTCGTAGTTTTCCAAAACTAACAGTGTGGCCGAGTTTTGAAAAGGCCCCGGCGAAACACTCTATGTGTTGTTGATCTTTGAGGTTCCTAAAAACGTGACATTTTCTGTTGGTTTTTCTTTTTTCTAGGGGAGTGGAAGAATGGACATAAACACGGCAAAGGTGTGGAACAGACTCCAGAGGGAACATACGAAGGCGAATGGAAAGATAATATGGTAACTTGATACAAACAAATTTCAGTCATTTCTGTTAACAGTTTGCACCCTTGAGTGACAAGAAACTGTGTGGCAGAGCAACCCAGAAAAGGAGTAATGTTTCGACAGCCTTGGCGAAATTCGCTCTGACGAAGGGTTAGCGCTTTAAACTTCAGCTTTAAAACTCTTTTTGGAGGCCAATTTACCACATCAGCTCAGTCGATGATGCCAAAATTACCTTGTTGTGCTCCCCCATCGAAGCAGCACTACAGTTTCTTTAGAAACTTACCCTTTATTCATTTGATTTTCACGTAATACTATTTTGTTCGTCAAATCAATGGCACTACCTTTTCCAAGGATTTTCAAAACGTTGTTTTTCAGCGTCATGGCCAAGGGCGGGAAATGTCGGTGTGTGTGACGGAATTTGAAGGAAAATGGAAAGAACATCGAAAACATGGACCAGGCATTAAAAGACTGAAAAATGGGCGAGTGGAAGAACAGGTAGGCTTTGTCCATTAAAAATGAACTTAATGTTTGCTTATCTTGTATCTTATAATTGTGTAATGCGGTCAACTCACTCCTCTCGACCACTCTCGTCAGTAATTGTTTTTTTAAAAACTCTTCCTGGTGCATGCATCCACTTCTCAAATTCTTTAAGCTACGATAATCATTCCATAAACTGCTACGACCACTTTCCTGGCTAGAAATTTTTGTCTCAAGTTTCTGGTTAGAAAAAGCTTGAGTAGAATCCTTGCACTACTCCACACAGAGATTGTTTGAAAGGAGAAAATGGATATAGGTTAATCCATACCCAATATATGGGGGCGTGGTGGCCTCATGGTTAGTGCGCGTGACTTCGGATCGAGTGGTTCGTGTTCGAACCCTGGCCAGGGACATCGTGTTGTGTTCTTAGGCAAGACACTTTACTCTCACAGTGCCTCTCTTCTCCCAGAAGAATTAAAAGGGTACCGGCGAATTTAATGTTGAGGGGTAACCTTGCGATGGTCTAGCATCCCATCCGGGGGAGGAGTAGAAATTCTCCCAATCGGTTAATGCTGCAGAAACTAGAGTTAAGCGCCGGCCTGGTGGGCCATTCGGCTCATAAACAGACTTGATACCGAATATAGTGTAGAAGGTTTAGGGTTAGGGTCGGTGGTTCAACTAGATAAGCATTTGGAAGTGCAAACGTGCTTATCGGAAAGCGCACAAATGAACGAGTGAGTAGTATATTGGAGTTTTTGGATTGATGTAGCAAAAGTGTTTCTCCGCGTAAACTGTTTATTTACTTCAAGTTAATCGATAAGTGTGGCCACCCTCCTTAAGCGACCACTTTTTCTTGTGCCGAGGTTGGTTGTGTAAGAGAGAGTTGATTGTCTCGTGTTCACTTTTGGTATTCCTTTCACTTAGTATGAATGAACGAAGTTGAGAATACTTTTGTTTTTATATCTCCATATTTGTGTGTGTTTCTAGGTCTGGCAAGAAGGCAAACATAGGGACACATCGAGTATTGACGTAATAGAACTGCCCCTCATCCAGAGGAGATGATCATTAGTCATTTATGTTACCATTCCGAAATTTTAATTTACAATTTCAAAATCAGGGATTTAGAGTTTTCTACTGAAGAGGTCAAAGGAATGATGAGATTTTTCCCTTACCCGTGCTTGACCAGGTGTAGACGTTTCCCCCCCCTCCCCTCCCCGCCCGTTCCTCGATGAACGACTCACTTCAGCTTGGTAGGTCGACACTGCTTATCTATCAACGTGCGCTGAATATCTTTTTCGCTTTCTACAATGTATTTAACTGTAGGACTAGGAGTGATAACAGGATAAGCTGTACGAAACACTTCCCCTGTTTTTAATGCTTTATTTTTATTAGTTCAAGTTATATTTAGGGAAAGATCGTAACATAAGACTTGGGAACAATACTGTTTTGTACAAAACCGTAACTTTTACTTGCTGTTATAGTATTTAAAGGAAAATTGAATTTATTTTGGTTACAATGAATATATGAAGTTCATATATACATTATTTTCTTACAAAAATTGGGGAAGGATAACAGTTTACAAATTGAAAAGAACGAGGGGAGGAAAGTATTCAGTTAAACCAAGGTTTAACATTTTGAGATTTTCATCATAGAGAAATAAGTTAAGAACTGGTTATTAAATAATTACATTGATAGAGATAATGATAATAATGATAAGAATCTTGGTAGTTATTTTTCTGTAGAAGTGAATAAGGGAGGTTTCTTTCGTTAAAAGGACACTCATAATTATTGAGTTCTATGTTTTTGATTTGATACTTATCTCTTAAAATATTGATGGAATGGTTATTATTATATATTTAAGCGCTAACAACTTGTGTCGAACACTTTCACCCAACATTTTCAACCAGGAACTTCGTTATTTGTGTTTGACCTCATTTTGTAATTGAAACCTAACATGACGCAGCACTCTACTGGTCAGAATTTAGTTCTGACATTGTAAACCGATTACATATTATCTCTATTTTTATGATTTGTTTTATTGATGCTTTGATCATCACAGAAATCCAAATATTTTTTTATTTTATTAATAGCAGGTATTGATATTTGTTAACTTGGAGGGTTTTCAATTAATACAAAAGTAGGCTTACAGAACGATGTATAACCTATGAACTGATCTTGATCTGGAACACTTGTCAAAAAGCTAAGTAAGAGTTATTCTAGTTATTTGTAGCGCAAAGCCGATACCTTAGCAAGTGAAAAGCTCGTGTAGCATGCTCATCCAAACAGGCAACATGATATAGGTAGCCAATCATATTCAGGTGAAAACCATCATGTCATGGCAGTGTCTCGCACTCTCTGCGGTACACCGATTCAGCCAAGGAACGAGTTTAGACGTGCAAGTTGATTTCCGCTAACAGAGCTATCCTTTCGGTTTTAAAGATTTTAGGTCCCATTAACATTGATGGATTTTCTTTATGAAAACTCGCATTTGTTAGCGTTCTCGCTTGTCGTTCACTAACAGCCTTAAAGCGCTGATGAAAACCGGAGACCACTTATGACGGTTTCAAACCTGGAGTCTTTTAGTGACGCTTCGTTTTTAAAACTATCCATTGCTCGTGCTGGTGTAGACAAGTTAAAAAAGAGTGAAAATAGCGATGAAAACAGCGTGACATTTTCCCTTTCCATCAGCGTTTTCAGGAGTTTCAGCGTGGACAATAGACAGTACTTGCCTTGGCTCGTCTTTCTAGTGCTCCAGATCAAATAGAAATGCAATAAATTTACAATTATCGAAGGTTTTATTGAAAGAGTTATTGAAGTGATGGAAATATCTAATGGGTGGATTTGACCGCTTTCAGATATGTTAAAAGATGGATTATTCTTTAAAAAAAATAGAAATATGTTTACAGCAATGGCACGAATTTTAGTTCAGTTTGCTGTCAGCCTTAGCGGTTCTGCTATCGTTGTAGCGGTCACGTACCCAAAATTAACCAATCGCAACAAAGGAAGAGAACAGTGATTCCAATCCAATTCAGTTGGGCCAGTTAGGTGCTTGGGACCAAAGCAAGCAATAGGGACCAAGAATTTATAGAAAGCTTTATTTCTCGTTTCCTGTAATCGAATTGTTCAGTTTTGCCCAAGTGACCCTGTTGACGTGTGTAGACGCAACTGGTAAAAAGTAGTTCGTCGTTCTGAATTTGAGACCATTTGGTTTCTTTTTATATCAGGAGGAAAGAAGGAATATAGATCAGAGGAAATTTTTGCCTTTACTTTTATCGTAACGCGTTTCTTGATCGAGTCAACCTTGATAATGAAAGCTAATTGAAATATAATTAACTGTATATTGTAATTGAATATACATGATTTTTATACAATAGGCTGACTATGAGAGTTAGTTTGTGCTGGCACAAAGTAAATTTAGCGAAAAAAATAACATGGATGTAAAGTGTAGTTTCGATTGAGTGGAAAATTAAAATAGTTTTGTGCAACCCCTTGTATTCTAGCATGATCTGTTACGGTGTTGTTTCTCGTTACGTGTATTATAGGTTACCATGTTGATAGGAAGAATTTCAACGACTTAGGGCCCCATCAAGATGGTGCTTTAATTCGCAAAACGCAACTTAAGTTCTCTGTCCACTTTGGAAAACGGGTGAAACATTTTTCGTTTCAGAAATTTCTTCTCCAGAGCCTCCGTTACCCTGGTGCTAGGAACAGGGACTCTTAGAAACGAGATTGCACATAATAGAGTTTGATCATTTCGCCAAACAATGAATAGAACGGTGTCTCCAAAGTGCCGTATTTGCTCGAATGGGTGCCGCCCCAAATAAGCGCCTCCCCCCGCCCTTAAATGAGTGCCGCACTTAGGACAGAAAAGGTCATAGGTGCCGCTCCCAAGAAAGCGCCGCATTTGTGGCGGAAAATTAAACATCGCTGCGATCCAGATGCGGTGCTTATTCAAGGAATTATTTCACAAGCTTTAATGTTGCATACGCAGCAGGATATCTTGATGGAAATAATTTTGAATGCACAGATTCAAAAGTAGAAGAAGCATACCCTTTCACGCTGTAGCTTGCAGACTCAAGTCAAATTGAAGTTGAATAAGAGACTTGGTAATGCAATTGCAAAGTGTCATCACGCATCAGAAACCACATGAGAACAACACCCACAAAGTTTTAGGAAAGGTTGCCCCTGGAGTGGCTAACAGTTTCCTTGACATTGATAACCATTCCCACTCCTTGGTTAATACAGGGCAATGAGTAGGCTAGGACTGGAACCAAGGTCACACCACCCGACACAGCATCAACTTCCTGGCATACAGATTCACAGATTTACTCTTTAGTGTGACAGTAGAAAATTCCCCAATGGGCATTACTAATTGACAAGGATTTGTTTGATACGATAAGTGAAGAAAGAAGAATTTTAATCCAAGATACCTCACACACTAAAGGCTTGCTAACTTTAACTTTAATCAAAATACCGATATCGGCTTTCAATAAAATGAATGCTGAGTCAAAACAGCTCCTTTTCACTTACATAAATACATCTCTCCTAAGAAAATATCGCAAAAAACTATACAGGAAAATTAAACTTGAGGTTTACAATTACATTTATCCTTTGTTAAAATCTTTGAGAATTGTCTAACTATGCTGGGGATGATAAAACATGTTCCTTCCTAAGCTTTTTGAGAGAACTTCTGATGGCATCACAATCATCACTGATATTTAAGCCAAGCATTTTCTTTTATTTCATTCTTAAACCTCAACTTTGTGCAAATCAATACTAACAGAAATGTGGAGAAAAAACTCCTCCATCATCCACAGTACATAAGGTTGTTTTGTGTTTCAAACATGTAACAAAAATGAAGAAACCAGTGCAAGATGATCAGATGAGATCAACTTATTTGGGAGGCCACCAAGAGTCAAGATCTCACTTTCTGACAGCAACTCAAGGTTCCCAGTCATCTGCAGAGGTCCATGATGGTGGTGACACCTTTTGCAGTTCTGTTGCAATCCAGGAGAAACAAATATATAGTCTACTGTAGAACAGACTTGATCATGAAACGTTGTCACTTCTGGCTGCCTACCTCGAGGGTGATGCCTGTACACACTGAACACATTTGAAAAATTATGCCGTTGAATTGTAGTAGTATTGTACTTGTTTTTTTCAGCCATTTGTGCTAAAAGATGTCGCCTACTTTGTACTTCTTCCTGTGAAACTTTCTCATTTTTTGTGGAGTTTAAAGAAGAAGAAGAAGACTGTGTATTTGGCAGTGATATTCCACATACATCTGACTGAGATTCAGTGCTTGAACTAGGCTCTGGATTTAACTGGAAAGATCCTAAACTGTGATTTCTTGGCAAGTGAGCACAATTATCAGGCTTTCTAGATGATGGAAAACACTTTCCACTCTTCTCAAACTGTAACACACTGTTTGATGCTGACACACACTATGCAGATTCTAGCCCTGGTGGTTGCAAATCATTCTCCTGATCAACACTTGAGACACTCTCTATTTCTGTTGACTCATTTCTTTTGGTACACGATGTTGTGATTCCAAGTTCCCAAGGAATAATATTACTTCTCAATTTCTGACTTGGAGGGTAACTCCTGCGCACATGACTTTGGCCAGAAAAGTTATCACGATGCATGCCCATGTACTTAAGATATCCTCGCTTAACAAACTCATAGATTGGTGAAAATGGAGTACTGTTGAAATCTCCACAACAAATGATGGGATGATAGGCTGGATTTCCTTGACCAGAAGAGGAAACTTTTGCTATTTCTTCAATTTCTGAAAACAAGAAGGCAAGTTGTGCAAGTTTGATGTCTCCTCTTTTTGGGTTGAAAAGCAAATGAGTGTTGGAGATGCACACTAGGTTCTTCGAGTTGCGAGAAGAGCGGCCTGGAACTTTTGGTTTCAAAAGAACCACTACAGCTACATTATGACGATCCATAAGCTTCACACCTGGTTTGTTGAAGGAGACAAGTTCTGATTTCACCAGCATAAATATTGATTCCCTAAAAAATGTAGCACAACCATCTGTTTTATCACCACTTCTTTGCTTGTACACCCCAGTATAACCTAAAAAAAGGCAACAAAAAGTTAAAATCTAAAATTTAGGGTTCCAAGAAAAATCTGTTACCACCACGAGGATTTCAAATGAACTCCAAAAAGGCAAGGGTAGTATAAGGTTCTATGAAGCTCAAAAATGAAAGAAAATTACAACCTAATCTACATTATTTTATAATCCCACCACAGAGAAGACAAAGACAGCCTGCTGAAAACACGCAACACATGATATAGGTTTGACTGGAGAGATTATAGAGACAATCTTGACTGCAACAATGTGCCATGCTGAGCTTAAGATTGTAGGCTTGGCTACAAGTTTATACCCAGGCTCTCATAAATTTCCCCTCAATCACTCCTAAGGATGGAAAGAGAGACCTCTGGAACAATGCTGATAGTCAGTCATGCCCTCTTTTAATCTTGTCTGAACTCATAAGTGAATGTAATTTTACCTTTCTCTCTCAGCTTAGGTTCAAACCAGTCCTCATAGTGACTGACTTCAACTTCTTGAAGGCACAAAACCTACATGTTAACATTCAAGACACGTGACTGTCACATTAAACTTTATGGCAATCATATAAAATTAAATAATTAAAATTAATTCATATTTTTCTTTATTTGCCACAAGCAAAGAACATACGTGTACTCTCAGACTGGTGCCAAACAAGTGAGAAACAAGGAAAACATTGAACCAGCAGTGACAAAGCAACTTCACCAGTGAAGTTGTTTTGTCAAACCATAGGTGATCACTCATTTGAAATTTATAAGTTTCAACATTACAAAATAATACTAGACTCCCAGACAAACTTATTGAAGGTCTTCACCTCAAATTTCAATTTACTATTACTTACATCAGCATTATAATATAGCAATTCTTTCAGAAGATTTCTTCGTCTGTAGTCCCAATCTTTCAGCCACTCTTCAGACCCATTGTACAAATGGCTGTTTGAATGCAGTAAACCATCAGCCAGTACATTGTAAGAAACTACTTTAAAACTGAAGTTCTGGTTCCTCTGTGGATGATAACATCTTTTTCTCAACTTGTGCCACCTACGTCCCAGATTATCTGGAGATGTGAAGCAAGGCTGCTGATGAATGTGTTCCTTTGCTTCAGCTTGATATTCTTGATAACAACCAGTAACAGCATTTTTCTCTTCCCCTTGACTTGACTGTACTGGTTTGTCTGTTGTTGTTAATGGATAAACTGGTGTGCCATACATGAAGTTGGCTGTATTGTTTGGGTTAGGAGTCTCACGTTGATTTAAGTTCCCAGCTCTGCTAGCTTCAGAATCTGCAACACAAGGTCACAATATTAAGAATAAGCATTAAAAAGTCCTGATCTAATAAATAAAAAGCTTTGATTCATATTCAAATAAAATTGGCAGATTCCAACTTGAGATAATATCAATTGATCAGTGATAATCTGCAGTGATGAAAAAGTTATCGAGGCAGACACCATTAGCATGACTTATTTGGTGATAAGAAATCAAATGAGTTTTCTCAATTCAATTAACCAATTTCCATCAGTTACTATCAATTGTTACCACTTTCCCACTGGCGCAAAATTTGATCCACAAAAGGTAAGCAATAACATCATTACCTTCAACTGTGTTCATAACACAGTAAATGGCTTGAACCCGCGGGTAACATGTGAAAGTGTAGTGTGATCGTCCAGGTGAGTGTAGTCCTGAGAAGGACTGTTGTTGGTGGTGGTGACTGACGTTTTGAAAACCTGTGCAGAAGTCATCATCATGACTTCCGCACAGATTGTTGAAACGTCAGTCACCACCACCGACAACAGTCCTTCTCAGGACTACACTCACCCGGACAATCACACAACACTTTCATGTGTTCATAACACTGATTGTCTTAAATACTACTACACTCTTCATTCAAAAGGTTTCCATTATTGATGTCAACATCATGGTAAATTAGCATTCTTTGCAAGAATGAAAACACAAGGACTCCTGCCAATGAAACCAAAACAAATAACGTGATAATCCAATGCGTAAACATTGACAATTAAGAATTGCTAAAAATCGATGTATATTTGTGGGTAATTTGACACATTATCACAAATTGTTAGTGGTATTAAATAAAATTAAATTTACTTACGTCACTGATTCATGTCTTTTCACTGATAACACAATGCTTTCTAGACTAGTACCCAAAACAGCCCACATATCAGCGCCCTTATAATAAGGAAATTCCTATCTCTTGCTTAGGCAACAAAAGGACCATTGCACACAAGAATCGAGGGTTTTCCCTCAGTACTCTAACATGTAACTAATGCATCAACACAACAACGCTTACAACGAATACAAAGGAAATGGTTGAAACCAACATTACGATTGACACAATGCAAAGCAGATCTCAATGATTCTCTTGATTCTATTCTGACTAATGCGATGCAAAATAAATTCTACGAGTACTCATGCACTCGAGCTCTCTGTACCCAAATGTTAGGTGAGAGGCAAGATTTCTGTGTAAATCCATACTTCATCACGAAAGCAGTTTCAGAGTAGAAGAAAATAACTGCGAATACAGACAACAGACTAAGGCTTTGTTTATAAATAGTCAGTAGTTTTGAGGAGATCTTTCCAAAACCAGGTGCACAAACCTTGCGTGTCTACCAATGATGCACCGCTCAAGGCTTCCATCGCGTCACTTTTCGAGGCAGATTTCTTTCCGAATCGTTTCGCAGCAGAAGTCTGATGTACTTCCTCTACAGATGAATATTTGGATTTCTTAGCTGCTCGAGCAAAGTACGAATTCACAGATTTCATCCCAATGTCATCATCCGTTTTTATTCGAATTCGTTGTCTATAGTTCCTTGAGGCTTACACAGTAACGTACCCGTCGTTAGGTATCAACCGCGTGACGCTCAAGAGCCCGCAGGGGAACATGAGGTGTTGAATTTGTGGTTGCCTTCCACGAAGTGCATACCCGAGGAAGCCTCAGAAAATGTTTCACACAAGTACACAACGAAAACACTGGACTTTTTCTAGTAAAGAAGAGCTAAGGCAAACTCGGCAGGAGGTAAACAGCGCTTACTGTGAGCATTTCCGCGAAAGCTTTCCTGCGAAGAAAGATGTCGACTTTTTGACTGTCGAGGAAGGAATGAAGTTGGTCGAATACTACCAAAGTGTTTTGATTGAAGTCAGTGAAAAGTTTCAACCTCCTGTGCCAAGTGCTGTGACAGCAACAGCTGTGGCTTACTTGAAGCGGTTTTATTTAAAAACATCAGTTATGGATCACCCTCCTAAAGAAATGTTCTTAGTCTGTTTGTACATGGCTTGCAAAGTCGAGGAGCACAATTTGTCTGTGGATAGATTTGTAGAAATCCTACCAGCGGATCGGAGGGCAAAGACTATAGACTTTATTCTTGCTAACGAGTTACTACTTATGCAACGTCTTGACTTCCATTTGACAGTTCACAATCCGTATAGACCTCTCGAAGGCTTTATCATCGATTTTAAAACCAGGTGCTTAAGGTCAGATCCTGAGAAATGGCGTCCGTTAGTAGCTGAATTTCTCAGAAAAGCTATGTTGACTGATGTTTCCTTACTTTACCCGCCATCACAAATTGCTTTAGCGGCACTGTTTAGTGTATCTCGTGAACATATAAGCGCTTACATAAGTGCAAATCTGGGTGAACAACATCAAGTTCTTCTTCGCCAGATTGAGATCATAGTAAGTCTGGTGACGGTCCAGAAATTTACAGTGAGCAAAGAAGAGACAAAAAGTTTAGAGCAGAAGCTAAAATCTTGCAGAAATCCTGAAAACAACCCTGATAACAAACTGTTTAAGAAAAAGAAAGCAGAAAGGGAGAAATCAATGGATATTGATGACTAGTGGAACCTAGTGGCTCAGACAAGAAATTAGAAACTTGTAAAATAAAATGTCCACTTTGGAAAGGAACAAAGTTACAATTACTGTTTGACTTACTAAAAGTACCTTATTAGAAGTGCTAGTAATTTGTTTTGAACGCAAAGGACAATTAAGTAAAAGCTAAGGTACAGTCCTCTTTCTTTTAAGCAATTTTTAAGGCTTTACCTTTAGATCTGATGGGGAGACATGGGTGCCAAGTGGTTTGTATCCTGGTGCCTATATCTAAAGGTCAGAGTTTGCATCCCAGTTGAGTCACTATCTTGGGTTTTTGGGGAAAAATTTTCTCTCACCATGCCTCTCTCCACCTTCATTCAGTTTCATTGGTTTCTACTTCACCTTACCATTGAATGTTAACAAGATACAGAATCCCTAAAAGATTTCTTTTTTTTTTTGCATAAGAACCCTAGAGTTACTTTAATGAATAGGTTTCATTAAGATAGACTACCACATAACACAGTAAAATCAAGCTGATAGTGAGCATCTCTCAGTGATTTTCATTGAGCAGTTTTTAAATGAAATGGTAGGTGGCCAAATGTGAGCTTAAAACAAAAACAAGCAATCTGCCTGGGGCATGTGGAAAATACAAGTTACTGAGTGGCAATTGGTTTCAGTTGTGCATCCTATTGGCTCAGTTTCAAGAAAAATTAACCTGTCAGTCAGTACAAATCCAAAGTATGTCCCTTCCTCACCATATGCAGATGCCCCCCACTATATGGGTTCATTTTGAAAAACACAAAGGTAGAAAAAACAGAGAAACACAAACTGCCTGTGCTGGTTTATTATATATAACTGACAGGTGTTGTGTCTTAATGCAGAAAAGTGACGCCAATCCTTGGTTAAAATGGCTGACCGAACTTTAATAATCACTACCTAAACTACAGTTACACAATATACCCTCAACATGCATGCAACTTAGCTATTTAGGTTTACACTCAGGGACCTCTCATGTCATGCATCTTACGTAATATTGCACCAAGTGATGGTTCCTATTATTTAAACCCTAATTCATTAACACTATAACATTATTTAAACTCTAGTTCATTAACACTAACAACATGATGATTCACTCAAAACTACACATTAGTTTTATGTCAGTGAATATAATATACTTTACTCTGCCTATTAAACACTACATCATAAAAATATAATTTATTCTAAGTAAGCATGTTTAACACAACCATGACTTGGAGGCTGGATAAATTTGTATAAATATGTGTCGCTGAATAGATATTTTAAAATATAACTAAAGCATTTTTTTAGGTTAGGGTATGATACAGTTGTAATAGATCTGGGCCGAGTTGTTCAAAGGTGGGTTAAGATAACCTAGGGTTAGTGTGAAATTTGATTTCAGATCTGAAAGCTTTAGAAGAAAATTCAGTTTAATTCCATTTGTCTACAATTTGATGATTGAATTCTCTTAAAAGAATTGGGAAAATTATCCCAAAACGGCTTTTGAACAGAGAAATATAGAAACCTGGATTAAAATTTAACCCTGGGTTAGCGCTTATCGGCCTTCGAACAACTGGGCCCTGATATTGAATCGTATCTGCATTGTTCAAGAAGTAAACTCGATATCTAATCCTTGTTTCCTTTTGGAAGAGAAGTATGAAGAGACAAGAGTCCTTCCAGCTACTGGTCGCCCAGCCACATACACTTGGAGAATGTTTCTATCATCACCTGTCCAAATGGCATTTAATAGCAAAGGATAAATAGTGAGAGGTAAGACATAAAGATTGATTAGACATTGTAGACTCTAGAGTGTCAGCTTCATACAGCATGTGCCATCAACACAGATTTAGGAAAATGTGTGGTAGTAATCAAATTGAATGTTGAACCAAAAATTAATCAGAGTGAGTGATAAGCAAGTTAATGGAATAAAAATAGATTACTGGAACTGACAATTTAAAGTGAAAAAGCATTGACAACATAAACTGTAATGAACTCACATTGACAACCAAGAAAACAAAGGGATAGACCTTATTGTTCTTTTGGAAGACTGTAGTTCAATCAGATTAGTATTTCACATAACAACTTTTTTTCCAATTGTGTGAAATTGTGTTGATTAAACTCAATCAGTAATAATTGTCAAATCTAACTTAGGACTTACCAAGCATCAAAAACTTCTGAATCACATCCTTTTTTAAAAAACAAAAAGAAATACATTACTATAAACAATACTGATTACACTATACTATCTTTTAAAGTCTGAAATGTACTAGTCTTAATGAAACATGCTACATTACTTTGCCATTACTTTACCAATTATACTTTCTCTTCATTCTTTTCCTTTTTCTTTATTTCAGCTGGCAATTAACCCTTTTATGGTGCTAGGTTGCCACATGGTGAGTCTTTTAAAACAAGTTAAACTATCTTGGAGCTCTGCCACTGATCTTAAAAAAATTGCATTGTATTTTTTTTTTTTTTCAGATATGATAATTGCTAGGTTAACACAATTTTCATTTTTCAAGTAGCTTAGCATTCTTTTGAAGTCTCTCTTTGAAGCAAACAGTACAAAACCACCAAGGGGTTGGGTCTAAGAATTTGATATCAGTCAAATGATCTTGACTGTAGAATGACTGGAATCAGGAAAACTGCATGTTGTTTATTGTCGGTATAAATTCAAAATTTCCACTGGCCATGCCTACCTCTAAGGTGTCATTGTCAAAACAATCAAAGGGTGAGTCCTCAGCATCAGGGTCAATGAGCAATGCATCAAATTCTTTGCCAACCTTGTTGGAAAAAATTTGGAAACATAACGATGTAAATTAGCAATGACAGTGTAGAAAATAAATGTGGGTTCAGACAGGTAATCCATTGAAATCACAGGCCAGTGGAACATAACTGACCTGACTATCAACAAATATTGTCCTGATAAATAACTTAAATGTAAAACATCAAAACAAAATGGAGGTAAAAAAGAATGTACAAGAAAAACATATCTACTGTATGTTTCATTACCCAAATCTAGTTGCATTTTTCTTAAAGTGCCACTATGATCAAAATTTTGCATTGCCTTTTCTTTTCACTTCTGGAAGCTAGAAGTAAGAAACACTTACCATGCCAAGTTTAATCGCAAAATTCTCACGGGAAGTATGATTATTTCAACCTTGTTTTTTGTTTTTGGTCGCCCGCCATTACTCAATTCAAAAATGGCCGAGTTTGACAAAAAGAGTTGGCACTAGTTGGAGCCTTTCGGAAGAGACATCATATGCACAGCTCGACCTAAAAAACGTGGCTAAATTTGTATGCCATTTGGAAGAAGAATTCAAGGAAGAATACATCTTATAAAATGCCTAGAATTTCCACTGTGGAATCTCTCACAACACACAAAGCACAATGTGAAAGTGCACATATGACATCACAGGCCAACTCATGCGTAAAACCGCTTTTCAGTTCAGTCGCTGGCTCTCAGTTGCGAGCTGAGTAATGGCGGACGGGTTTTTCGTGAATTTCGGCCAGCTATATCAAGGCGTATTTTGCTTCCATCGACCTAAAAACTATTGCATAGTACAATTCTAACCATATTAACTTGATTGGTGCTAAAAAATGTCAAAACCAGAGACAAAAATTTTCGTCATAGTGGCACTTTGATTACCAGACATAATTTTTCATTAAATTCATTAAAAATGTCAAAAAACATAAATCCTGTGTTGAGATGCTTATCCATTCCATGAAATACCATCATCATTAAATATCATTAAAATTTTCTTGCAACAGCACTATTAGTATGCTAAATTAGATCATCAGTGATATAGCTGCTAAAGAAAATACCTTGTACCTTCACTTGGCTTACCTCAAAGTTGCCAATTTTGTCACTTAATCCTAAAACTGAAAAGTCAGCAGTCAATTAATAATTAGCAATCAGACTCCAATTCACAGTGTTCGGTTGAAATAATCAAATGGACTTGACTAAAGATAGCTATTAAGAATGTAAGTCTAAGAAAAAAATATATTAACTTTATGCTAATTGAAAGGTTTTGACATCATTCTCACCCTCACTGCCCCCTAAAGTGGCCAGTCTAAAGGCATCCTTATATGACAGAGATCTGTAAGATTCAGGCTTGCTGAAGGCAACAACATTGGAGGCAGTTATACACTGACGAATGACATCAAGCATTGATGGAGAATGTCCTCCTGAAACATCTGTTGGTGCCATTGAGAAACAGAGAAGAGGAAATGTTAAAACTCCTACCAATAAATATCAAGATTAAAATAGGAGCCTCCCAAGACTAAATTGCATATTAGTTCCCAGTTTACTCACAGCAGTATAACCACTTGGAGGACTGATTAGCTTAGTGAATACTATTCAACACTGACAATAAGTTGTTTTCAGTTCACTGTTTGCAAAATTAAAGAAAAACAGTTTATTTAGTAATGATTCTACCACTGACAACTTGATTCAATCAGATTTTGATTAAGGAAATGACTTCAGATCAAACAGTTACAATGATAAAGATCACCTGTACTACACAGGGACACCAACGATCTCACATGCCTCTTAAGTGCAGATGAATTTAAACTTCAGTGTTACGGCTAGTGTACATGCAAAATTGACAGACATCATTGTCTCGGAAAGCTTGACTGTATTACCTGTTCCAAGACCAACTTTTAACTTTTGATCCAGCAGATGTCTTATTTCAGCAACACCACTTTTCAAACTTAAGTTAAGGGCAGAATAAAATTTTCAGTCCAGAACAGCAGTGAAAAAGCCAAAATTATATTATTTTTCATTTATTTTCTAACAACACAATGTTGTTGTTTTTTTTTTACCATAATTATATATGATAGGGCCTCACAGACTCAGCCAAAAATCTCCTCAATAATTAATTATTCAGGGAACTATTACATACAAACAATTTATAATAACCAAGCCATATGACAAACCAATTTCCAAGAAAGATGGCATAATTATGTGCTTTTTATGTCTATGCTATGTATAAGATCTTCCATGACTTGGTAATCTGAGACAGGTAAGCCAATGTCATTTGTGCTAGGGGTGGTATTATTTAGAGATTTGCTCATCAGATTTCTCATCCAGCGGTAACTTTTTTTTGTAAGGAGCAGTCTGATTTGAGACTGATATACAACAGAAGAGTTTAGCGGACATTCTTACTCAAAATTTGAAATAGGACAGTGTGCAACCCCAGTGCCGTGTGATAACATCAGGTCAATCTCTTCCTCAGTAACATAAATACAGTGTGCATAGTAGGCCTGTGGTTAAAGGAAAACACACAATTCATTTGGTTCTGCAATAAAACATAGATCTGACCTAGACATAAATCAATTTACTGGTATGTTAAATTTCATTAATTTGCTTTAAGTATAAAAACCTTTTGTCACTTCAAGTGCAAGTTCTTTGTCTTTTTATTTTGTTTTGTTTTTCTTTTTAATGTCTCCTGTGGCTTTAATGTGGACATCATCCAGTAATACCCTCACTCCTTCATTAATGTTTGCAAAGGTGATTTAAAAAATCAAAAATTAATAAAAAAATTATCACTTCAGAGTCAAATTCATCACTGACATTGATTGTGCTTTCACTACAAACAGCACTTCAGAATGAAACATTTCAAGGCATACAGCTTCCTTAAAATAAGCAGATTTACCTTGTCTGTTAAGAGCCCACATTCCTCATGCACTTTTGCCAAATTTGATGTTTGAGAAAACTCAGAAGCAAAGTTCCAACTAGCCAGCTCGTCTTTGATTTCACGCAGGTGTCCCTGGAATTTTTGTAAATAGCAAGTAGGAGATTAATTCATAACTCAAACCATCATTGAAAAACATGTTTACCCTCAATGGTGTTTTATAGAAAAGGGGCTAGTGGGACTGAGTAATCAGTGACATAAATTCTTAATAAAATAAAACAAAGCAAGAGTACAATTCCAACTTGAAAGAAGCAAACCAGTTTCCTGTATAAGTCATGGCCTACTATTCTAACTCAAGACCACCAAGCCATCCAAAAGCATGCTACTTCTATAATTACCACAATCAAGCCTATATTTATGAATAAATAAACTGATCAGTTATCAACTTGTAAGTTTATCACATAAATTCAAATGTGCAGCTCAAGAAGTCACTGCTCCTTTACTAACCTGAATTGGGACACCGTATTTTTTGGCCAATTCTCCATGAATTGTCAAGAGTGATTTAGTACAATGTGCAATTCCTCTGGCAGTCAGAACAGGTGTTACAAGGGGATGCTACACAAGAAATAAATCAGACATGCATGCATGAATACACATGGGACAAATAGAAAAATGAGTTGCTCACAGCAAGAAAAAGAGTCACAGATCTTTTGATTCTGCAGTCTGGTACTCTAGCTACTACAGGAGAACTTGTTGGCAATAAACTTCTATGTTAACTTTGAACATGAAAAAGGTCCTGCACACCACTACGATCGGTAGGTCTGTGCATGGGTAAAAGTAATGCAGGAAAATTCAACTTCCTAACATTCTACTTACATTCATTTCAATCACATGTTTGATGAACCTGTTAAATATAAAGACACATTTTTACAACACATTAAATTAAACAAAAAAAATTATACAACTTTGTTTACAAGTCCACTATTAAATTGATTCACTAAAATTCTACAACACAGCAAAAGTTAACATATCCTCAAGAATGTTTAAATGCGTCAACTTAGAATTTAACCTCCTCACTCTAGTTCATTCATTTTTTATCTTTTTATTGAATTTAATAATAATAATTTATTAATTTATAGTGCACTTTTTAACATGAAATGATGAAATTTTTTTTTTTGGGGGGGGGGAGGGACTGAGGAGGGGGGTCAGATTTCTTATTCCTATCCGAATTTGAGGCTCTTGGGGTGGTGGATGATGATATTTCCTTGAACCTCTAAGAAACCCTTCTTGATCTCAGCACCCCGCATGGATGAGATGGATGCAAACACTTGAGGGTTACGTGTCTTGAGCCCCACCCCCCCTGCAGTAACCACAAGTAACTGTGTCCATCTCCCTTCTTAGTAAAAAACCTTAGTCCTAACTGTTTTCTGCTTCCCTTTCTAGCTGAGAAACTTATATTTAAAACATTAACCTTGACCTAAAGTTAATTCCATGTGTCATAATTTCATTATAAATGCACACTTGTCACAAATGTACCTCTCTGTTTCTTTGGCACAGCACTCTGTTGTTTTCCTGTGTTCATGATGGGAACAATCAACATCAGTGATGCCAACATATGCCCGCTGACCCAGCTCCACTGTGGAATAAAATGGTTTAATTTCCTAAGTTATCAGATCTTGAAATGTAAATTAAAATTGAAAAAAAAAATAGGTGTACATAATCAATAATTCTAACAACCAAGCTGATCCAATAAAACACCATGGGGATTCAGCCAACACTCTGATATTCTAACAGACAAGATCCTGAATTAGCAAACTGCTAAATTAAACATGTCTAATTAATTATTTAAGTATTCAAGCAAGGAAACAATTACCTCTGGCAACCAAACAAAGAACTTCACCTCCAAATGTTAGTGGAGGAAGTCTGATGGTATTGTCTATATTGCTGTCTACATGTGTGGCTTAAATCATCAGATAATTCCTCTTTGATCAGAAGGGAATCCAAGGGTGTACAAAAAAGTACTATTTACAGCTAAAATTTGCAAAAATAATAAAGTTTCTACAGCTTAATTGGTAAAATAAAGGAGTAACTCACCAATAACATCACAAAGAACCACTGTAGCATTGTAATGTAAGGTGGCAAAATAGGATGCTGTCGTTGTACCATTCATGAGCAACCTCCTCTTCAAAGATACATGACTGTTAGATTAACTCAAATGTGAAAAACATAATCATCATCCAATTATCATACTGTTACAGTAATAATTTGATACAGTACCCCCTAATAATAATAAGCACCTCCATCAAATTCGTTCTTAGTTAATAAGTGCTCCTATCTCCTCTGGTATGCTAATCAATGCCCCTATTGAGTAAGCATACTAATTGAAGTAAGAACCCCTACTCTGTTTCAGTGATAGTACTCAGCTAGAGTGTAACATAGATTGTCATCAACCATGGTCCATGGTTCATGCCATGGTTGCATGGCAATTAACATGGAATCTGTATGTTAAATACTAGTCATTATTCGCTGAAAATGGTTCTTTCTTTTAGATAAACCCTATGATCAGTATGCATATTCTCCATACTGTCCTCTAAACATGTCCTAAAGGTGCTTACAAGGAAAATTTGTTAAACAATCAAGAGCTTTTTTAATGGGTGATCATTTACTTTATTCTCATGACCAGGGGGGTGATATTGTTTGGAGAAATTGGATGCTAGGGTTAAATGGTTAAATAAAAAAGTTAATGTAATATTGTCATTTTATGAAATACTAATTACCACCAATTTCTTGTACACATTGAGTGCAAGGTTTGTATCTTCAAATTTGGCCTCAGTTGGGAAAGTGTACTTATCCAGCCATTCAACAACATGACAGTCATAACCAGTACCAGTGAAGCTGTACTGTGGTGCGTGAATATGTGTGTCAATCAGTCCTGGCATGATAAACTGCCTTAGTTTATAAAGAGATGAAATAAATGTGTAAGAAAATGAGAACTAATAACAACTAACAATACATGTTACACTTGAATTTGCATTGAAGTGTTGACAGAAGCAGGGATCATGCCTTTCTGGTGGTTATTCATGTAACCATCTGATAAACCTTTGCCCAAATGCAAACTGAATTCAATTTGATTTCTAACAAAAAAATATCAATTTTTCAACATCTCTTAACACTCTATATTATTATACCAATTTCTATTCAAAATTACTTATTTTCATTAATTTATTCAGGAAATTAAATAATATACCCATAGATAAGAGTCTATCAGAATTATAGGTACTTAATAGCTGGGCTATACCTTGGCTTTAACAAGATAATATCCTTTGAAGTGAATCCGTATTGCATTTCCAACAAGCTTTGATTTGATTCACCATTTTCTATGAACAAAATCTGGAGCCAAGCAAAATACAGTTGAGATAGACTAGAGGGATGGTTTGTGTGTGTGGGGAGGGAGGGGGGGGACCGATACGATACCACTAACTATGGAACATAACAGTAGAGCACCAAATCCTGTATTATACAGGAACTCTCTCCTCTCCAAAGGCTATGTACTATAGGTCTTATGAATACAATGACTATAAGTGCAAATCAAAGGAGTTGCACTCAAATGCATTCAGCAGACATCCACAACTCTAGCTAAGGGTTGTTGAGGGATAGAGGTGTCAGAGCTGATGTTTTAAGCATTAAATAACCTCTCTGATGAAAAGCTATTAAAGCTTGAAAAGCCAGAAATCAATTTTCTTGTAATAC